TTGGAATACAGCATCCAGTTTGGGTCGCCATGATATAAACAAGATGCTGAGACTCTAGGAAGAGTGCAGAGAAGAGCAACAAAGAGGATCAGGGGACTGGAGGCTAAAACATAATAAGGAACAGTTGCTGGAATTGGGCATGTGTAGTTTAATGAAGAGAAGGACGAGGGGGGACACGATAGCAGTCTTCCAGTATCTCAGGGGTTGCCCCAAAGAAGAGGGAGTCCAGCTATTTTTCAAAGCATCTGAAAGCAAGACAAGAAGCAACGGATGGAAACAAATCAAGGAGAGAAGCAATCTAAAACTAAGGAGAAATTTCCTGACAGAACAACCTGCCTCCAGAAGTTGTGGATGCTCCAACGCTGAACGTTTTTAAGGAGAGATTGGACAATCATTTGTCTGAAATGATATAGTTCAGGGGTCTTCAAACTTGGCCCTTTTATGACTTGTGGACTTCAACTCCCAGAATTCCCTAGCCAACATGCTTATGGTTTGATGCCTTAAATCGGTGTGGGCAATTATGACCCCTTTACGACCTGTGGACTTCAGCTCCCAGAATTCTGGGAGTTGAGGTCCACAAGTCATAAAAGGGCCAAGTTTGAAGACTCCTGATATAGGTTCTCCTGCCCGAGCAGGGGGTTGGACTAAAACAGGGGTCCCCAACCTGTGGGTCGTGTCCCATTACCAGTTTATGACCTATTCACAACACTGGAAGTTTTTAAGAAGAGACTGGACAGCCATCTGTCTGAAATGGGTTTCCTGCCTGAGCAGAGGGTTGGACTAGATCAGGGCTTTTCAACCAGTGGTACGGGTACCACCTGTGGTACATTGGCACCTGGCAGGTGGTACGCGACCATTCTAGAAAAGTGGTAGCGGGGGAGGGGAATGAGCTGAACTCTGGACTAGAAGACCTCCAAGGCCGCTTCCAACTTTGTTATTCTTAGGCATGAAAGCAGATTGGGTTACTTTGAGCCAGTTACTCTTGCTCAGCCCAACCCACCTCACAAGGTTGTTGTTGTTATGGGGAAAATAGGAAAACGAGGGTATGGTGGATGTTCACTACCCTGAGTTATTCATAAAAATAATAAAAGCGGGATAGAAATAAATAAAAAGGCCACATTTGAAAAACACTGAGGGAGACCAGAGGGGGTGGGCTCCCTTCTTCTAGGGCAGGGGTAGGCAACCTGGGCCCTTTTATGACTCGTGGACTTCAACTCCCAGAATTCCTGAGCTGGCATGGCTCAGCATGGAAACCTCTCCATTTCTCCTCAGCATGGCTGGCTCAGGAATTCTGGGAGTTGAAGTCCATGAGTCATAAAAGAGCCCAGGTTGCCTACCCCTGTTCTTGGGTGTTCAACCAGAGGCGGGATTCTTCAAGATCCCTTTGCCCCAGAGTAGAATACAGGGAGATGCTCCAACAGGCGATGATTCTCTTCCCTAAAATTCTTCAGAATAGCTGAAACAAACCCTGGTTTATTAAAGGCTGTCTCACAGAAGAGCCACAGCGCCCTCTGCTGACACGAAAAGGCTATCCTGGAAAAACGAGGAGATGGGACTGAGTGGTGAGTGGGATTGCTGAAGAAATGGGGGTCTTCAAGAGTGGGGGTCTTCAAGAGTCCTAATGGACAATCATTTAAATATGAGCCAGCAGTGTGCTGCAGCTGCCAAAAAGGCCAACACAGTGCTAGGCTGAATTAACAGAGGGATAGATTCAAGATCACGTGAAGTATTAATACCACTTTACAAGGCCTTGGTAAGGCCACACTTGGAATACGGCATCCAGTTTTAGTCCCCACGATGTCAAAAATATGTTGAGACTCTAGAAAGAGTACAGAGAAGAGCAACAAAGATGATTAGGGGACTGGAGGCTAAAACATATAAGGAAAGGCTGCTGGAATTGGGTATGTCTAGTTTAATGAAGAGAAGGACGAGGGGGGACATGATAGCAGTGTTCCAATATCTCAGGGGCTGCCCCAAAGAAGAGGGAGTCAAGCTATTCTCCAAAGCACCTGAAGGCAGGACTAGAAGCAATGGATGGAAACTAATCAAGGAGAGAAGCAACCTAGAACTAAGGAGAAACTTCCTGACAGTGAGAACAATTAACCAGTGGAACAACCTGCCTCCAGAAGCGGTGAATGCTCCAACACTGGAAGTTTTTAAGAAGAGACTGGACAGCCATTTGTCCAAAATAGTATAGGGTTTCCTGCCTGAGCAGGGGGTTGGACTAGATGACCTTCAAGGTCCCTTCCAACTTTACTATTACTATTACTACTACTACTACTACTACTACTACTACTACTATTATTATTATTATTATTATTATTATTATTATTATTATTATGAGTGTTGGGAAGACCATCCTTTTGCTTTACTCCCTACCTGGGTTATGCAAAATACGGGCTTCATGTTTCTCATGCAATGTCATGAGAACATGATAGGAACAGGGAGAAGGTCGCAAAAGGTGATCACATGATCCTGTGACATTGCAACGGTCATAAAGACGAGTCAGTTGCCAAGTTTCTGAATTTTGATCACTTGCCTATGGGGATGCTGCAACGGTCATAGGTGTGAAAAACGGTCATAAGTCACTTTTTTCAGTGGTGTTGTAACTTTGAATGGTCACTAAATGAACTGTTGTAAGACTAGTTCGGCGTTTAACACAATCATTCCCCAGCATCTAGTAGACAAACTGGGCCTTTTAGGCTTAAACACTCCTTTGCACAACTGGATTCTTGATTTTCTTACCAACAGGCCCCAGTATGTGCGAGTTGGAACAAATACCTCTAATATCATTTTCTTGAGCACAGGTTCTCCTCAGGACTGCATCCTAAGTCCGCTGCTGTTCACCCTGTTGACCCATGACTGCTGTGCTAGGTTTGCCACCAACCATACTGTGAAGTTCGCAGATGATACAACAGTAGTGGGTCTTATTCATGATGACAATGTGGATGCTTATCGTAAGGAGGTTGAGGGGTTGGTGAACTGGTGTAAGGAAAACAGCCTAGTTTTAAATACTGGAAAAACCAAAGAGATCATTGTCAATTTCAGAAAAGGCAGGCACAGCCACACTTCTTTGTGCATTAATGATTCACCTGTGGAGATGGTTACCAGCATCAAATTCCTGGGTGTGCAGCTAACAAGTAGGCTGGCTTGGTCGCTCAACAGCAAGACACTGGTGAAGCAGGCACAGCAGCGCCTGCATTTTCTGTGTCGCATGAGAAAAGCACATCTTCCTTCTCCTATCCTTACCACTTTCTACAGGGGGACGATCGAGAGCATCCTGTCATACAGCATCACAGTCTGGTTTGGAAGCATCACTGCTTCAGAGAGGAAGGCGGTGCAGAGTGGTGAGGATGGCCGAAAAGATCATTGGCAGTTCCCTCCCTCCCATCCAGGACATGGCATATAAACGATGCTTGAGCAGGGTCAGCAGGATTGTCTGGACACTACACATCCTCTTCACGACCTGTTTTCCTTGTTACCTTCTGGGAGGAGGAGGCTCCGTGGTATCCGAAGCAGAACATCCAGATTCAGCCATAGTTTTATTCCTTACAGCATTAATCTTGTGAACTCTCAAGCTTCCTCCTTCCGTTATATATTCAAGATAGATAGTATTTAATATTTATTTGTTATGTATATGTAGGGGTGTGGGTCTATACATATGTTGTATATAGTATGTTTAGATGTGTGTCATGTGTTTCACTTTTGAGAACGGGCAACTAAATTTCATTTTTGATGTGTGCGGTTGTGTGACAATAAAGGTTATCTTATCTTATCTACATGTTTTTAACCCAGGGGGTCTTCAAACCTGGGCCTTTTATGACTTGTGGACTTCAATTCCCAGAATTCCTCAGCCAGGCACGCTGGCTGAGGAATTCTGGGAGTTGAAGTCCACAAGTCATAAAAGGGCCAAGTTTGAGGACCCGTTTTAATCTGTTGTTTCTAACGTCTTATGAAAACCCAGAAATTGGCTTAAATCAAGGCCCCAGCCAAGGATGTGCCCTTGAAAGGTACACTCATCAAATAGACTGGATTCACACAATACCCTCAGGCGCAAGTCAGGCCTTGTGCATAGGTGCCTGTTAAGCCTTGTGAGGGGTTCTATTTAAATCTGGCAAATCGAATCTGGAAAAGTCAAGGAAGAGATGGAACTTCACTCTGCACATAGACAGAGGCACTATTTAAAAATAAAAAAAGTTTGGGCTCCTCTAGCCCTTTCCACTCGCTCCCCCAAGTCCTCCACCCGCCCATAGTGCTGCGCGGCCACAGTCACTCGGCGCATGCGCACCCGTACTCCAGCCAAGTGCCCAGACCGTATATTCCCCGCCATCTCTTATCTAACAACCAACCTTGCTTTAAAAAAAAAAAAAAGAAAAAAAAAAAAGGCGGGTCCCACATAATAATTAAAAAACCCTCTCTGCCTCCTCACACGCCACCAAAACCCCTCGGACTTCTTCCCACCCCTCCTCCCCTCTCGGATTGGTCGTCGTGCGGCCGGCGGGACCAATCCTTTCCCTGCTCAGCGGCGGCGCCCCGCTGCCCCCGCCTTCCGCCTGAGGGGGCTCGCTCGCCCATTGGCCAGGCCACGTCGCGTCTCTCCCCCGCGCGTCCAATCCGGCCTGTCCGGTGTTTTCTGTCAGTCACTGTGTGGTGGTTGGAGGGAAAGGCGGGGGGGGGGAGCCGTTACGCACCCGCCCGCGCGCGCGCCCGCCTTCCTATTGGGCGCGGCCGCCGTCCGTCCCCGCTGGTGCTCGCAGGAAGGTTCGGTTGACCGCGTGTTGTGAGGCGAGCTGGGAAGTTGGGTTGGCGTCACGGGGCTGGGTCGCCGTCGCTGAGGGGGCGGCGGAGCAACAGCAGCAGCCGGAGCCGCCGCCGCCGCCACCGCGGCCGGGCGGCCGGGAGCGCGAAGCCGCCGCCGCCGCCNCTCTTCCTCGTCCTGCGCCGCCGCCTTCTGTGGCGGCGGCTGCTGCGGCGGCTCCGCCCGTGCCGGTGGCAGCAGCAGCAGCCATGACGCTGGAGTCCATGATGGCCTGTTGCCTCAGCGACGAGGTGAAAGAGTCGAAGCGCATCAACGCCGAGATCGAGAAGCAGCTGCGGAGGGACAAGCGCGACGCCCGCCGGGAGCTCAAGCTGCTCCTGCTCGGTCAGTCCGGCGGCCGGGCGGGCCTGTCTCTCTCCCGGGGAGGAAACGCGGAGGCGACGCTGCCTCGGTCGGGGCGGGAAGGCCCCCTCCCTCCGCCGGCCCCCTCCCCCACGCTCCGGAAAGGCCGGCTCCCCTCCCCCCACCCCCACCCCCCCGGGCTCCTCGGCCGGGCTTATTTCTGCTGCGCATTTCCCCGCCTCGAGCGACGCCCGGCTGGAGGGGTCCTCCTTCCCCGCTTCCCTCCTCCTCCTCCTCGGCATCGGGCGGCTTTTTTGCTTTCCTCGGGGCTGGGAAGGGCACCCCTCGGGGTTCGGGTCCCCGGAGGGCTACGTGTGCACATCCCTGTGCGCTGACACGTGTGTCTGTGTATACATGGCCGGGTGATTTAAACGCATCCGTAAGGGAGATATGCGGTTTATATGTTTGCAGTCGTTATGTATATACAGGTATGTGCGCGCGCGATGTATACAATGATAGGTATACGTGTGTGTGCATGTGATATATACATGCCTGATGTGTGCACACAGTTATTGGTGTACATGTGTATATGATACGTACACACAGTTATTGGTGTACATGTGTATATGATATGTACACACAATTATTGGTGTACATGTGTATATGATGTGTACACACAATTGCTGTACATGTGTATATGATATATGTACACAATTTCTGTACATGTGTATATGATATGTACACACAATTATTGGTGTACATGTGTATATGATATAGGTACACAATTGCTGTACATGTGTATATGATATATACACACAATTATGTGTATATATACACACAATTATATATACATGTGTATGATATGTACACAATTGGTGTACATGTGTATATGATATATATACACACAATTGTTGGTGTACATGTGTCTGATACATATACACAATTATATGCACACGTGTATGTGATATATACAAACAAGTATATATGTTTGCAATCATGTATGTACAGGTGTGTGATATATACAATTATATGTGTACAGGTGATATATGCATGTCTGCATATATCACCTGTACACATATAATTGTATATATCACACGTGCACACAATTATTGGTATACCCGTGTGATGTCTGTCTGTGATGTATACACACAATTATATGTATACATGTGTGTGTATATATGATATATACCAGCATTTGTAGGTGTGCAATCATGTATAAATCTGTGTGACCATGTGTGTGCAATCGTAAGTATGAGATGTATATACTCATTTTGTATATATGCAATTATATGTATATTAAATATGCGATTATTATACATGCATTTATAGAGTTGTGTGATATATGCAGTATTGTGTATATACACAGACATGCATCTGCAGTTGTTTGCATGTATCTCTATGTGCCTCCTTTATTACTCTACTTACTATTTCCTTTCTGGTAGATGTTTGTCTTCCTCACTTTCTCTGGGTCCTGTTGGTTTCAGGTGGCTTTTCTTCTTTTCTCCTTCCTTAACGGTATTTATGAGATAGATGTTTTTCTCTCCAGGGTGGCTGCCCTGCCTGCCTTTCTCTTTGCTTCTGTCTAATCCACCCTGCCATCTCCCTGCTCCTCCCTGCTCAGGCTGTGTGTCTCAAGGGTCCTTTCCCACTCTTTCTTCCTCTGCTTTTTCATCCCCACAAGGAAGAGAGCCAAGACAGGCCTCTGAAGGGGGGGGGGAGTTCAAGCCTTCTTTGCTGTCCAGGTGGACAGTTCAGGTACTCCTCTTCTTAAGGAGAACTTTTATACCCCTAAATAGGGAGGGGTTGGTTTCTTTTAGACATTCATCGTCTTTGTGAGTCTTTAATATTCACAGCAGCCCTCTGAGGTAGGTCAAAGGGAGAGAGTTTCATTTCCTCCCCAACACTTCCCCAGAAGTTTCTTAAAGTGGAAATCTGTGCAAGGGCCTTTTTCTCCTCTTCCTGCCATTTGTCATTCCTCCATCCTCTGAATCCCATGCGATGTTAGGGTGGGATTTATTTGGCTTCTATTTCCACCTCACCCTCATTTCCTGAGGGATCAGCTCAACGTTTTGAGCAGGTCATTGCTGGGCCTGTTTGATCATTGATGGTGTGACGTTTTACCGAACCAACTATAACTGGCAAGAGGAAGAGTTTTCTAGAATTTGTGTGCATTAAAATCTTGAGGATTTTTATATCCTCATTTGCACCCTTTTTTTCTATCTTGACTCTGTAACTTTCGCTCACTGCCATCCAATTTCTTTTTATATTATTTGTGGGGCATTGCATCCTGTTCCAACCAGCCTTGTTTCTGTCACTTTCCCAAGTGTTTTCTCTATTCTAATTCTGTGATGTTCAGCTTTTTTTTTTTTAAATGTACATTATGGTCAGTTTGTTTTGCACTTTGCTTTGCCTGGCTGTTGTTGAGTATACATACTTAATAATATCTCAAATGCCGAAATATTGAGTTTGTTTAGAAAAAAGATTGAGAGGAGAGGGGAGGAAGTTACATTGATTTACATCAAACTCTTCACAGCCTATAAAGGAAACTCTGTCCATTTGCACTCTGAGCAGGAGTTTTATATTATAATGTAAGGAACTGCAGTAAGTTTTGTAAAAAAAAAAATTGCTGGAGTTTATTACCCGTTAATTTCTGAGATTAATATTCTACTATCCTTGCAGCTCTTAGAAAATACTTCTTGGTGTTTGAGCTTACACTTTTCTGGCCTTGTGGATCATTCTGCCTCTTCCTTCCAGAAAAGGGATGGTAAAAAGTACAAAGAGCATAATTTGATAAGGCAAGAGAACTGGTTGATAGGCTTCATGCAGATTGAGGATGGCAATTCTTAAACAGAACCAGCTGATTAAGAAACAGAGAAGTTTTGAAGTAGCCCTGGCAATAATTATTAGATGTGTGGTCCAAAGTATGGTGGGAGAGGAACCGGGTATCAAGAAGAGCAGGTACAATCAGAATCTTGATGGAGAAGGCTATGATTTCACTATCTTGTATGATGTGGATGTTCTGGGATCTATATTCCCTAGTCCAGGGGTAGGCAACCTTGGCTCTTTTATGACTCATGGACTTTAACTCCCAGAATTCCTGAGCCAGCATAGCTGGCTCAGGAATTCTGGGAGTTGAAGTCCATGAGTCATAAAAGAGCAAGGTTGCCTACCCCTGCCCTAGCTAGTAACCCTCTAGTAGTAAGGGACTCTTCCTGATTACTGGCCATATTCCTTTTATATAAGTGTTGCATTCTCATTCTCTCTCTCTCTCTCTCTCTCTCTCTCTCTCTCTCTCTCTCTCTCTCTCTCTCTCTCTCTCTCTCTCTCTCTCTCTCTCTCTCTCTCTCTCTCTCTCTCTCTCTTTCTCTCTCTCTCTCTCAAAAAACAAAAAACAAAAACCTACAGCAGACATAGAATATAAGACATCTGTCCTGCCCATCCTCCTTTACAGTTTTGTTTGCAACCCTTTAGATTCCTTCCGGTATTGTTTTTCTATAATTTATATCCTGCTTCCTAGCTAAACGGATCTTACATGGGCCTTTCTTTGCCCCCCCTCCCTGTTCCAAAGTCACCCCCTTCATAATTGTCTCCATCTGTGTGTGTGTGGAATGTTTGCCTTCCTCTCAAAAGCATGAAGTATAAAGCCTCTATCCTCTCCTCCTCTCCACCCTTTCTGGTGACTTTTCCTTTGGTACAGTGTCTGCCAGTGCTGTTTACTTCCTCATACCTAGCAACCTTATTTTCAGTCTTTCATGCTTTCAAAGGAATTTGCTCTCCTTTCTTTTCTATTGAGCTATTCCTCCTCCTATATGTCATTTTTGACAGCTTCATCACTGGCGTTTGCAGTGATGTGAGTCCTCCCATACAGCTTCATGCAGCCTTTTCTTTTGCTTCTCTTCTGCCTGCCTGCCTTGTGTTCCAAATGAAACATGCTCAGGTGAGGAAAAAATATTTATGAACTTTAAGCCTTAGCAACATTTTTTAAGGATGCGGTTTTAAACTTTAGCTTCCAATCCTGAATCAGGCTGAACATAGGTCTGATAGGGGTTATGTTCTTGTTTTGGGGGCTTCTGCCTTGGAGGTTTGGTTTTAATGCCTTTTAAGGCCTGCGTTGGGCAACAGGTGACTTTCTTAATTATAAACATCAGACTTTGCATTCTGGGTTCACAGAATAGTGAATTTTCTTTAGTTGCACTCTTAATTCATTTCTTAGTTGAAATAACCCTTTGGGGGTAACAAATCTCTGTCACCTCAGATCTTATAGGACCAAGGTGTTGGTGTTAATAGAACATTTTTTTTAAAAAAAATGTGCAGAACTGATTTGTAAATCTCTGTTGCTCCTAAGAGTCTTGGATTCAGATTTAACTCAGATTGGTTCCCTGTTTTGAATTAGGGATGCAGTCCCATCACTCCTTGAATTAATTTTCAACTAAATTGGTGTTCTCTTTTATATAGCCTAGAACTAAAGGGCAAAAAACCTATCAAGGAATGTACACTTCAATATTTTACACTTTTTCAAAATCTAATGAATATTTTTCCATGGTAATTTTTCCTTATGAAAAGAGAAGTTTTGAAATGTGGATCTCTGTTGCATTATCGGGGCTTATTATAGTTGTGGAACAGGAAATCTCCAGATATAATACTACATCTTTTTATATTAGTGTGTCTCAACCTTGATAAGTTGAAGGTGCATGGACTTCAGTTCCCAGAATTCCCCAGCTAGCTTCTGAGAGTTGAAGTCTATCCGCCTTCAACTTGCCAAGATTGAGAAACACTGTTTTATATCATTATTGTAACAATTAGTCTTCCCCATCACTAAGCTTTGCCTTCTCGCGTTTTGGTTCCACACTCTTGTTTCTTGCCAGACTTTAGCTCTCATCCAAATGATTGTCGTGCTTCTTTTACCTCTAGTGAATATTTTGCTATTAGTTATTGTTGTGTAGTATGATATAATATTAGCATTACTGTGTATTTTATCTGAATGGATTCAGAGGAAACGTTCATTTTTTAAAAAAAAACAACCCACCAATAATGAACATTAC